TTGGTCGCTGCCAAATCAATATTGTTCGTTCGACGCGGTATCGCCATTTATCAGAAAGGTGGGAAAAAGTTGTAGAGAATTATGGAAAATATTTTGATTAATATATATTGTACCAATCTTTCTCAATGAATGCCTTTTCAAGTGAACAAATGATCAGAATAAATGCAAGCATCTAACGCATGACCTTTAAACTGAAATTAGTCAAACTTTTTAATCTGGTGTTTCAATGGAATCCAGGCATTTATAATTTTCTTAAATTCATCGTTTTCCTCAAATTTATCACTTTCCTTTTTTGTTTTCTTTGGGAAAATTTTTATTGCGCGATAAATTGTATATCATGTTATACGGTTTCATATACTTTTAGATATGCCAAAGTGACATACATTCCCGTTACCGTTTGTCATTCATACTCGGTTCTACTCGGTTAGCAAAAAAATCCAAAAAATTTTATTTGTTTTTCGTAAGGATCTATCCCGCAATGAGGCAGTATTGCTTAGCTACACTTTTTTGTGTCGATCTGGCCACACGAGAGATCTAAAGACAACTTGAGAAATTGCCGTTGGAAAATACCGAGCTTGTTGTAAAGTTTCTTAAAAAGAATATTCGTACATTTCCAATGTTCATCTCTTTATTCAGTTTAAAAAAGTCAATTGAAGCAAAAGTTGAAAACTCTAAGCCGCCCAGAAACTAACTTAATGTCTAATACCTGCCCCAACTTCATCAACTGTGACATCGCCTGATCTATTTGTTTGATATCGTAAAAAGATTTTTGGTGAATCAAAGCCAAATATATTTCTATTCAATCCGCCTGAGTGGCCGAAGACTCGTAATTCCATGGTCGCGGGTTCGAATGTCAAGCGCGGTAGAGTTTTTAATAAACCCCGTAGCCTTACGTGCTAGTCCTTTAAGATTTTAGTCTTAGGATTGATTTCTGTAGCTGTTCATCTAAGACGTTTCTACTCAGCAAACACACTTTTCAAGGCAGTTGATTAAGATAATCGCTGGTTGATATTGTGCGGTTGGCATTTCTTAAGATTAAGATCTTGAAAACTTGTTTCACAAAGTAAAGGGAAAACCCCTATGATAGAAACTACTTACATTTGTTCGGAATTTGTATCGAGTGCAGATCTTTTCAATTTCTCTGCAAACGATACTTGTCTTAGGCGCATCTGAGACTCTGATTTATGGTATGGGATATTTATGATGATGAAACGTACTTTAACACATATAAATCTCCCGAGTTCCACAACTTCCCAAAACAGTAAGTTGTTTTTAAAATCTGCGATGAGACAATATTTAAATTAATCCCAAATTTTTTAGCTCTAGTACCATCTAATCAGTGTAAAAATCAGTGTAAAACTGGGATAAGTGAAAATTGGGATAAAGATGACAATGACATACTTGCCTCCTTAATCTTAGATCAAAACGAGAAGATCAATAACTCTCCCAATATAAGTTCCAAGTAAATAAGCAGACAATCCAAGGTATGGCATTGATATTCCTCACACTTTTTTGATGCTAATTTTTATAATTTTTTTTTTATTGCGGCAGGTTTTCAAACAGCGAATGGCAAGAAAGTGGTCATATCTGAGAAAGGGAAAGAACGCGTGGAAGCCTTGCTAAATGAATTTCATGAAAGTGATGGTGATGAGGATAACTTGCTTTTATGCTTTGCTTTTATAATAAAATAAAATTATTTCTAAAAAGCAAAGCATGCTAACGGAGAAAAAAGCTTTTAATACATCTTTAACAAGCAGGAAAGAAGACGGAGATTACCCCAGGTGGAGCGGCAAAATGTCAGCGGCTAAGGGAAAGTCGAATATAAAAGTCGAAAACGATGAAGGGAGTGGAGAGATGGCAAGCGATTATGCTAATATTGTATTAAGTCAATGGGTTCTTCGTCAAGATGATTCAAAGCAATTTTTATGTCAACAGACCGATGATACTCTCAATGATGAATCAAAACAAACCGGGCATTCGACTTTAAATGTCCCAATGATGTTTCGTAAAAAGCACTTGTTGCCATTAAATCCAAAATTTAATTTTAAATAATCCATCGTCTAGTTGGAGCTTATAGCCACAAACGCTTTTTCAACCGCTTTGGCAAAATCAAACTACCTTTCCTGTTGCTGTATATTAATTTATATTATCTATAATTAAATATAAATAGCTTTATTTATATAATAACTTTATTATATGCTTCAAATAGCTTTATTAATATATATAAAAATATATATATAAAAGAAATTGTTATTCTTTTTAATGTTTTCCTGATTGTTTCCGATTCTTGTTCCTAGGCTTGGTCACTTTTGCTTTTCCATCATCTCGTCTAGATGTTTAGTGTTTTGGAAAATACGCGAACTAAACTTATTTAATTTCACAAATTAAAATTAGACCGCCATAATTTTTAGACAAAGCTCTCGCCAAATTCCCTGTTAAAAGGCAAAGCACAGAGTTGCTTGTAATAAATAAAAAAAAAAGTCAAAAAATTGCAACTCTGTTAAATGATTAAATACCCAAACAGCAATTTAACAGACTGAACAAAGGGACACATCTGCTAAAATACGAAGCCGTCGGCAAAACTAAGGGACACATCTGTTAAATAGCATTTTACAAAGGGACACATCTGTAAAATAGCTCATTGTCGACAGGGTTAGTTAGAATATGTAAAATAATTATTGACGTATTGATTTATTTATTAATTGATTTATCTGCAGTTGGAGAAAATCGAACGCCTTTTCGACTCCTCAATAAGCAAAGATATTATTTTCTTTTCTATGTTTTTTATATTTATGTCTCTTAAAGGCAAGAGAAGAAAGATGTTTTGAACTGCCTTTATAGATAACAAAAGCTATAAATACGAATTTGTATCTGTACGTTGCCCTGTGGATGCAATTGGAAGCAATCGTCTATGCCATCTGTTTATTGAAGACACAAGCAATTAAAATGCCGGCAATGTAGTCACGAGTAATGTCATTTTCAACATCAAACTCTAGAGGCCGCTAGAGTAATATAATCAAAGACAAAACTAAGCTGTTGCAGCACTAATTTTCGCGTTAAATCTGGTAAATGGTAGAAATATCCTCTTTATATCCATCATGAATGAATAATAACAAAGGATGAAGATTATGCTGTTGCCATAGAATGCTCAATTCGCTAAGTGGCGAACTTTCAAACAGCAACAAGATGAAATAGTTTCCATGTCGGGGAATATATTTCATGGTAGAGGAAATTTACGAATATAAACATGTATGAAACAAATAAAACCAAACCAATAATATAAACTAACACAAGGTGTAACTATTTGCATATTCGTGCTTGAAGACTTACTGTTAAACTAACAGTTTAACCCTGAGGTTTGTGCCTTACGATAGGCCAATTAATAATGTTTATTGGTTTCAACAGACTTCTCTGAGCCTCGAATATTTAAAATTTAACCCTAGAGGCGTCATTACTATTTTTTAAAATATTGTACTTTAAATTGCGCACCCGTTGTAAATTTTTTTACTGGGTGTGGGATTAGTCCGGTATATATCAAATGGTGGACACTTAGATCACAACATAAAGAAGATAGTGATCAAGACAATAGCAGTGAACAGAGTGATGAAGTATTTGGTGAAAGAAGAAAAAAAATCAGAATAATAGAAAGCGAAAGTGAAGATTCTTCTGATTCACACGTTAGATGAGACGAAGACAGTTCTGAATGGATAAATGTCACTGAATCTAGAGAAATACCTGAAAGAGTACAATCTAGACGTCGTCCCCAAGTTAGTGCAACTGTCACGGAACCATTGCATTTTTTGACCGAACGAAAAAGAAAAGGGGAAAACGTGAAACGTTGTATTACTCTGACAAATGTCCTAAAAAACCTGGGATACACCTTGGAGAGTGCTTCCTCAAATATCACATGATAAGAAAAATTATAAAATTTAAATTTAAAATCTTATGCTTGTAGTATATAAATAAAAATGAAATATGAAAATAAACTACTTTTGCTTAAAATTCTTATGCTTGATGTGTTAAAATTTTTTATTAAAACTACTGTGTCGGGTAGCTGCATACCCGTACTAAAAAATGCTTCGGCAGCAAAGGGTTTATTCATTTCTAAGCTGTAGTCTAAATTGTATTCAACAATACATTAATTATACCATAGTCATAGCTCTCACCAAATCCAAATGTATTTCTTGTTAATTCCAAGTTTTTTTATTAAATGAATTGAATAAATAAATTTAAACTAATTGAGTGAATAAAATATTTCACATAACCACATTAGACATAATCTATCAATCAAGTTCCACTGGAATTCCGCCATCCGCCAGTAGTTGTAAGTTGCAAAAAGGAGTGCAGTCGTCCTGTGGCTGAGAGATCAAGACGGATTTCGACAAAAAAACTCTTATTTCAAGTTTGAATTAAACCCACACCACGACACTTCTTTTAAATCTAATAACCATTTGAGATTACCTTAAAAAGGTCCTTGCATTTCTTTAGATCCAATACGAGACACGCATGTAATCTTTCATTGAAAACAACACGACACCTGACGATATCAATGAGAATTGCACCTTTTCCTCGGAACAGGCAACTTTTTGTGCCCTGTAGCTACATACTTCTGATATAGAGAAGACATAAGTATCAGCGAACGTACGCAGCAGCGCGAACAATGGATTTCTGAAAAAATTCTGTCTATGATTGTCTATCTTTTCCCCTAATGCTGCCCTTGATTTTTTTTTTAACCTAAGCGATCCGTTTTTGAATTATTTGAACGGAATTTGTTATCTCAGTTCCTATCAAGAATAAACTACTTTTACGCCCATCTTCCTTTTGAAGACGGGTATTGAAAGTGTGCTTAGATATGGTATTATTATTGATTTTCGAAGAAAATTATTGGTGTTTGCTCAGGATAACACCATTTTTTTTAATCCCTTCCCGTAAACAGACAGAGCATCATAGTCACATCGTCAGTAGAAATTTCCTCACGCAGTCTGTTAAAGTGTTACATGTCCATGGTCGTGGTAAATCTCCATGATCCTTTAATACGTTATGATGAAAAGAGATGAAGAATAGAATCTCAACTACACTTATGTATAATAGAACTTTATATTAAGCGAAGTCATATGGGAGATATTTGATACTCGGCCCAACCCAATTGTGATTGTGTGTTGGTTTACACCTGTTAACTGCACTTTTTGGACCGATGAGCATGTCCCTTCCTAACTGGGTTTGAAACAGAAAGCTTTCCTAGAATACCACAACGTTTACTTTACCAAACTAAGACCGCATGATAAATAAGAAGATGGACTTTGAACTTCCACAAGGATGGCAGATCGTGTAAATAGTATTATTTTTTATACTTTATTCTAAAAAGATGCTGATTATACTTCCTTATAGTGACCTTCATTCAATTTATCGAATAAAGAAGAGTACTGAGGATTAATGAATTCATTTATTTGAAATTGTATTCTCGATGCGAAATTATTTTTTCCTTTTTTGTAATTGTTGATCGTCGGTCGCCAAGGAATCGACGGTTACAGAAGAGGAGTCTTTCGATGAAACAGAAAATTTCGATCTGGAACTAGCACTGCGTGATGGTTTAGGATATTTCACTGGCCGAGTGTTGCCAGAGCATTTCAAAACAAAACGTATTTCTTCCATAAGTTCAGTCTTGAAGGGAATCTAGAGCGAGGAATCAAAAATTGTAAATTGTTTACTGTTTTCCATTTTATAGTGACCAACTGAATGCAGTATAAGCTGCCATTAGTTTCGGAGAAAAAGTTATGGAAATTAGAGCAAAGGAAGTACGAGGAAATAAAAGAGAAAACAATAACAATTTCATAAATATTATTAATATTTAAATTAAAGAGGGCTCTAGGATTCTCTAGAAACGCAAGGAAATTGCACAACAACAAGTGTAGGATTATGTCGTGATATTGAAAATTATTCTTAGTTGCATGCATTAAAGAAAACCTTGAATTTCTTTTCGTTCTTTTTTTTTGTTTTTTTTTTTTTGCTTTCTGTCTGCGCGTTAGATGTTAATAATAAAAACGACACATCTCGATGAGTTTTCATTCGTTTTTGTTTATGTTACGTTAAAGTGAACGCACACAATTTTACGCTTAGTACGCTTAGTAAAGTTTTTAAATGATATTGAATACCTTGTTGGCTTGGGCAGTGCTGTAAAGTCCGCAAATCCACTCCACAATGCCACAAAAAACGGCTATAATGCTGCCCGCCAGCAATACCGCATATATTCCGCCAACATTAGCCATACCAAGCTCTGCAGCCGAGTCCGAACTCGCTTTTTGCTGTGTTAAGCGATTGTTATTCATTCCGTTATTTTTTTTTTTTTTTCAGTTTGACACGATTTTTATTTTTTTTTTGTTTTGTTTTTGTCAACGCATGTCAATCAAATAAAAAGTCATTAAGCCGCAAGTGTTTTTAAGAATGCAAGGATAATAACAAAAGTGTTGAATAAAAGAGTTTTCATTTATAGTTTTGTTTTTGGACCGTGATATGTTTTGAAGTTGTTGTTGTTTTTTTTACAGTTTGCAAATTTAGACGATGGCATCATTTTCATATCAAAGAAACAAAGGGCAAATAAAATATATATGCGAATGTATATGTATACGAACAAAAAGCTATAGAACAAAGCATTAAAAAGTGAAAGGTGTTGGTACGAGAAAAAATCAAATCCAGATCCAATCGTTCGCAAAAAAGGTGACAAACATTGGAAAAATATGCACGGCGTGAATTCAATCGGGCTCTTAGGGATGACGAATGACATCTTTTGCAATACCTTGTTCTCATCGCAACGCTGCTTAACGCCACATATCATTTCCACAATGGACACAAATAAGCCAAAGAAAGAGCCAGCGATTAGTACCAAAAATACACCACCAAGATTGCTGATTTCTAAAGCCAAAGCTCCACTATCGCTTTCCACGCCCTTGAGTAGTAAATTTCACATTTTGTAAATTACATAGTACCGCCTATGATGCTTTTGCATTTGCACGCACCAGGCTCAATGATAGTGAAATTAATATGATGATATGTGATAGGGAATGAATGAATGCATGAGTTTGAAAAATCTTATTAAAAGTCTGCTTATCCACCAGCATCAAAGATTAGATTTGAAAAAGAGAAACACGTCTTCAAGATCTCCTAAAAAAATACTGTGCCCAAAGAGTAAGACCAATATTCAAGTTCAATAACAGGGGTATGTCGAACACTAGAAATATATATTTTTTAAACTAGCCGTACTGCCGTAGACGTCTGTGTCGAATTTCACATCATAAATGTCATAATTGTTTCAGCTGCGCAAAAAACTCAGTTTTTGCAATTTTTACAACGTAAGTGTGATAATTATTTGTGACTACACGCACATGAAACGAACACAACCGATCAAACGAGGGAAAATCCTTCCCATAGCCGCTCAAAAATCAAAGCGATATTTGTGTCGACATTTCTTCGGCTATCGTGGTTTTGTGCACTATAAGTTCACTACACTAAGCCAAACTGCTAAGTGTTATGTGTCAAAGTTAAATTGGTCTTACTTTTTGACCGCAGAACACGTGTCATAACCTCGCTTTAAAGTACGATTGTAATTAACGCTGACACTTCCGGTCAGATTAAGTTTTGTTATTCAAAAGAACAAATGCAGTTATTAAACAGGCTAACCTTTTCAAAATAACTATTTGAGTAATGGACGGAACGACTAAAAACTGAAATTATGAAAACGATTTTCTTAATTATTTTTTACTTCAATTCTGCTGGCAACAATCAAATCATGAAACAGAGTACATTGCCAGGTATAACGATATTTTGATCGTTAATGTGGTTTGTTATTCTCAAATAATATCGACAGTGTGGCTATCAGAAATGACAAGATTTCGTTAACTCATAAATTATAATACGTTATGAAATATTCATGCGGACAAAGTTACGTTCGAAACCTGTGATGGGTGGTATTCAAGATTCGCCCAAAAACGAATATAGCTTTCGCTAATTTGTTTCAGGTAAAGGCTTACCGTACACGCACCGCCGCCTCGTTTCTCTTTCCACCATTTTGTCTTCATTTTTACAAGCACACCTTGTTCCTGCAACTCCAGGACGGCTTGGCTGAGGACATCTCGATATGGAGAATCTATATATAGGTTTGCAACAACATAACACTTGGACTAATTTTCAGCTTTTTCTTTAAAAATTCGCAATAACAAATACAGTCCCCCTCGAAAAATATATCTGTTAACTAAATTCGAAAGGGATATAAAAAATTTATCTTTTCGTACATAACACAGTTAATAAGTGCGGACAAAAAGTCAATATTTGCACCCAACATAGTAGGTATTCGGCTTTTCTATGTCCACCAGTGTGCCGTCATACGAAAAATTACAACAGCGCCAATCCTCCTACAATGCGACTCTCTTTTAGCAGGGTTACCATATAACCTCACCTATAAAGCGATAGTCTTATGACGCGGTTTCCGTCCAACAACATTCCATCAACTTAATTAGGAAACTTCTCTTTAGCATGAATTTATCGAAGTGTTAAACTTTTACCATTAAAATTAACCAGGAACTCCCTCCTTTTTAATGAAAGTACATCGTCATTTGCTAATTTCAGTTATCAGGGAATTCCCCTATGTCGAACTTTTTGCTTTTGCAAACATCCACTTATATTCATTAATTCCTTGCAGACCTACACATCTCGAATAGTGCTCAATAAACTGACTTTTGCTCGTTTAATTTATGTGTGTTATTGGACAACATTAGACAACACTGGAAATATTTTTTACTTATTTCAATATAATAACACATAAAAAAATAATTGCTAACCTCGGATTTGCATAAAATCAAACCAAAAGTAAACAAGAAAACAGTTAGAAAGAAAGTTTATATCTCTAGAGATAAGGAAAACTATGGCAGACGGGTGTCTGTTAGGCGCGTCATAGGGCGCAGAATTAATTAAACTGATTAAGAAGTGACTTTACTTACTTCCATATAACGCGACACGCATCAATCTCATCTGTACTACTTTTGACTTTCTTATAATGTAATTTAACATGGTTTACATCTTAAACCTTTGTTCCCTTTAGCGCGATTTAATAGACGGTTCACTGCACTTTCCCTTTCAACAAAAACCTGAGGGAAAAAAGATTGAAGTTGCGTTCAAGATCGTTTTCCTTTTTTCATTGGGCAAAGCCGAATGTCATGCAATTTATCATTGAAAACCTATTAAGAGAAACTGCCCATTCATTTCTTGTATTCCTTTGTAAATTCCGAGACACATAACGGAAAGTGATTTTGTCTCGTATTGTATGTAATTGCATTTTCTCAGAGCGAAGTTCACACTTAGGCCGCATTGCGATCACGTATTTTGGCAGCTGATATAGCGAAGGGCTCTATCAAATACGGACACTTGAAAGTAGATTGAATGAGTCTGAAGAGAATGTGCTGCCACAACGTCAATGTCAAAATTGGTTCACAAAATTTCGTTCCGTTGACGACGTGTCACGATCTGGAAGGCCAGTTGAAGAACTAATAACAAGAAGACAACTCGTGAGATAACTAGGAAATCATAAAACCCTTTAATCTTTTATTTTGAGCAAAAACGAAATAATTTTGCGAATAACCCAACACACACACAAATTCGAAATCCATATTCTATACATATGCATTTTCATCACAATTAATATATTAAACTAATGCCATTGCACTACTTTACGAGGCAATTGAAAAAATCAAAAAGGACTTAAGGAATACAGATTACAGGAAACCCGCGTTCTCTTGCAATTCACATGTGCTTCGATGTTATATATTATCGGGAAAGCGTATCGAGTAAACTTAATTTTAAAAGTTTTTCTATATAAAACCGCTATTCAGTGATTAAGTTAAGTAAAATACAATTGAACGCTAATAAGTTAATAAAACTAAAAGCTTCTCACTTCTAACCAAGTTTATAAAATGAAAATCAACCCAACTGCCAGTCTTTACTTGGTAATAATTGTAATAATATCCTCCTAGCAGTAAATTATCAAACTACGTTTTAATAAACTTATAAACTTGATGCTTCGTATGGGAGAGAGAGAGAGAGAGAGAGAGAGAGAGAGAGAGAGAGATTTTTCCGCAGTTTCGTACGTGAGGAAACTATTCAGAGTATAATTCATCGTCTACACACTAAGACACCTATAAGTACGCAGTTATTTATGCATTCGCAAGCACACATTTACTTACTTTTTTTCATGGCGATGCCGTAACCTTTCTCATCCAGTAAAGTACCAACTTGGGTTAAAGTACAACGTCGTTCGGTAATGTATTCAATGGTTGTGGATTCCATTAAAAATGCATAGTTTTCATTTTCCACACGTGTAACACCTTCGGCATTCGTTGATGTCATATACTCAGGATGAGAATCCATAAACTCATACATTTTTTGATAGGTGGGAAATTTTGCACCCTAAAGCCGTCACCGTAGCAATTTAAAAAAAAAAAAACAAAAAATTATAATTCAATATCCGCAGCATAAATACATTACAAGCAAATGCTTTTAGGAACGATTGAGAGCACATTTAAATTTAACGACATTTTCCTTAAACCACATGGACAGATGTCGTCATCTTCAGAGCAGACGGACAAATAGCTAAACAGCTATTTCAGTAAATATGATCACATCCACTTTGGAGTTGCACACTGACCATTAAAGAAATATTTTCTTAAAGTTCTTCGAAACATATATTTCTTCTTAGTTTTATGTAATGAACGGCAGGCGTAATGATAGCGTAAGATCTTTTACTTACACTCAACGCATCGTATATGTAAAATAAGAAGAATGGCGATAAAAATGTTAAAGATTTTGCAGCGAATTTACCTGAAAAAAATTAAAAGTACTGCCACCAAGCTTAGCGCCATAATTAACGCCACCCTTATTGGCGGCTAAATCTTCAACATTCTCGATGGGTGTACTAAGTGATTCTACCGTTAGAAAGGCCGCTAGATTAGCTGTGTACGATGAAACCATAATCAGTATGAAAAATGACCAAAATGAGGCCACAGAACGTGTCGAAAATCCTCTGAAAATGACAAACATATATATGCACATAGAGCAACGCTCACTCAATTTCGCACATGGTACCTGACCTGTTAAAATGCTTGTCATGCAAGCAGACATACGGGAAAGCAATTATATAGGTGATTAGCGTACTTACTTGGGCGCTAATTCAGAGCCTTGTTGTAATAGAGCGCCAATAGAAAACCAAAAGCAATTAGTTAAACTAAATTGGTTTTCAAGCTCGGTGGGCTCTTCTATGCACGGATACGGATTATCCCACTCAGCCGGCGAAATGCGTCCCAATATGAACATACTAAGCGAAACACTTACACAGGATATACCCAGCCATAACCACACTTCACCAGAAAATGGTGACATGAATGAGAATAATTTTGGTGGCTCTTTCATTGGTTTGCGAAACAATATTGCAATACCTAAAGAAAGTAAAAGCCAAGCATAAAAGGAAATAAGAAAAATTAGATAAAAGAGAAACGACTGCTGCTGAACTCTATGTTCAAATAAGCATCTACAACACTTAATTTCGGGCTGTAAGTTTAGAGACAATTTGTCTCTACTTAGTCCCTCACAGAAATCAATGAAATTGAGACACTGATGAAAACCTCTCTCTATGTATGTGCAGCTCATCTGCTTCTTCATAGCGGACTTATTGGAAGATTCTTAAATCCACTCATTCATCTTTAATTGCATAGTCATATTCATTATTAACATGGCGTATGAGTTACATACAAGTTATGTCAAAAAAAGCAATTATTTATTTTATGTTGTTAATACGCCCCATACACCACACATATACATACTTTGCGCTCATGAAAAAGATAGAAGAGAAGGACTTACCTAAATTCATGAAAGGAATTGTAAAATCAACAGCACTCTCACGATCTGAAGTCATAGTCAAATCCGTTATGCCCAAGTCGGCTCGCTGAAAAGTAATACTAAAGAGTTTAAGTAAAGTACTTGTGATACGACGGGGGAATAAGATTCAAAAGCATCCCAGAATGGTTAAGCGGCAAAAAGTTCTCAATAAATCATTCAATTAGTAGCTTCAGTTTGAATGTATGAAAGTAACTTTGAACAACTTTTATTGTGAAATTGCCTTTGTCTTGTTTGATTGTTGCTATTGAAATAAGTAATGAGTAATAACATATACTCATGCATCACAATTTCACAATCAATTAATTGTCCTCGCTATTCTTTATTCTACATCGCATGCACAAGACAAATTCATTTAACATATATTATGAAAAGGTCGACAAGGACCGGAACGTAACTACTTACACATACGCATACATATTAAATAACTATTGGCAGAAATTTCATTAGATGGCATTTAGAGAACAGAGATGAGCAAATTCTCTGGGCACAAGCTCTTATCAGATAGTGAGTTGAAGTTATTAGTGACGTTGGAACGAACGCATTAACACATATACGTTCTCATGCCTTTTATTTTACAGCGAGCAAAATACTAAATGCAATAGCTTTTTACTGTTAAGGTCAAATTTTCTAACTATAATAAGAAAACATTCTGCATAATTTTTATGAGACCTGCTACGCAAGCAAATCCATTTTAATGTAAGCCATAAATTTTCAACAGCTTCGAGAAATTTTTATAGATTTTAGAGAATTTTATTCTGAGTTATTTGCTGACGTGAAGACGCGGTATTTGTATATGTTTTTCGCAAATATTTATATAAAGAAGAAATATTTTATTATTTAAACAAAATCCAAAAAACTATTACTTGAATTAAGTAGGAAATTAAATTATACCAATGTGCACATCGAATGGATTATGTAACAATGGCAAACGTTTCCGCAAAATTTTAAATAAATTCTTGAATTCGAAATCTCAGGAAGCAATCTATAATGGCGGTAGAGTCCCAGGAATCATTTAATCAGATTCTTCTGCATTTTGAAAACGCCTTTCCAGCCTCCTCTTGAATACGCTACATAAGACTCTAGTTACATCTTAACGCTTTATATATAGTGCAAGAGGGGTGACTTTAAGTATTTCTTTATCGCTGTCCTCGTCAGTTTCGGCATAAAAGTTGTCCGCGTAATCAACTTTTCAGTGTCTGTCTGTCTGTCTCTTCTTGACGTTGTTCTTACAAACTCAAAAATGTATCTGAAGAGCAGAGTTTTTTATAGATTTTTCTTCTGTCATCTACTTACTAATGCTCGTTAACGCTTAACAAGTATTTTTAATATATATTTGTATCCCATAGGGTTGATTGAATCGCGCTTAATGTTTTTACTATATTAACTCTTATCTTTTGCGCTTTCTGGGTATATCATATTATGTATGTTTGCGAGTGTTGTCTTTTGCTTGTGTTGTTATATACTTTAGATGGGAAATATGAGTATAAATGCTTTTCAAACACTTGCACAGCGTATAATTGCGTGTTAAAAACGCCGCGTGCTATGTCTGCACCAGACATTTATGGTTAAAATGAATAGCTAAGTTTACTTTATCTATAGGTGTTACCTCCCCTGTCCACTTACGCACTTACATTATCAAAATTTGCCTAAAGTATATTGCTTAGGAGTGTAAACAGCCCTACAGTCTTTCTCTTTATTAATTTAGGTTAAGTCGAATAACCAGCTTCGTCGATCTATGCATCGTCCCACAAATAGGAGACTCTTTTCTATGGAGATTTATGTATGTAAGTTTGTACGTTGATTTTTAGCTATAATGCGTTAGGTGGTCATATGCTTGATCTACTTTATTTGCACAGCTTTCAATGATTTATTTGTACATAGAAAATGCTGCAATACTCCTTTCATTATGGTTATGTCTTACGCTAGCATAGTACGACATATTTATAGCGCTATTGCATTTGCTGGATTGCGTAACAATAAATTTAATTCCTTTCATTTTATTTATTTTCCTTTTTTTTTTACTCTTGCTTGTTGTCCGAAAACTAGCGTTTAATTTTGGTTTTACAACTGGCAAAATATCCAGCAGAGAAATGCCAAAATACCAGTGAAAATGCTGTGAAACTAATTTATCATTATGAATTAGAAGCACCAAAGCGACAGGCAGCTTAAACACGCAATTACACGTTTTAGGAATAAACCAAAACCAAAACACACAGGACAACGTAAAGAGCAAACAATGTTCAAATAGAAGGGAAGTAATGTGTGTGTTGATAGGAGAACCGGAAGTGCATGCCAAGTTTAAATGACAGATAACAAAAAGAGGGTTTACATTTTTCATACATATATACTAAGGGTAGCGGGGTTCAAGTTTACTGTACAACACATACGAATGTTTACTTACGTCTTCCATAATTTCCAAAAGCATACCGTTCCATTCCTTGGTAACGGGATTCAATGAGCCATATTTATTGTCCTCCTGTAAGCGAAACGTATACGAAAAGCCCAGTTTCTTGCCAAGTTCTTCAATCAATTCAATACCGAAGCCTTCAAATTGATCGTTGCCTTCCAACTTAGCAGGCGAGTCTTTCAACATACCATACGGTTCGCTCTGTCAATACAAATAAATGTTAACAACATTTTGCATAGCGATCTTGTGAAAGGTTAAAATTGCCGTACAATTGCCGTTATAACTACGAAACTTTTATTCACCAGCGAACGTTGGTCTGGTTCTGAAGATATCGAAGCTGGCGGCCGATCTAGGGACGCACCTTCATCAGTACTCCATGAACCAATTTTTTGCAGTCCCGAAACCGTCAACTCAATGATATCTAACAAAAAATCTGTCCGCAAACCTTCGTAATCGAATTTAATATCACCCGACAAGCCCTTTATGCTCAACTGCAAATTTCCTCAGAAAATAAGAAAGAGAAACGCACTTGCAATCAATAAGTTTTATTTTTTGTATTTCCCACTTTGTCTCTTACCGATTTCATATAGTTAACCAGCGTATAGCCTTTATCCCACGTAACGTCATCGTTACAGTTTAACGAAACAGGACGAAACATGATATGTTTGAATGTTTCCGCCAAAAGTTGTACGCCATCGTATACTAAAGCCATGTTAACCGTTAACGGACATGAGACTGTTTCAAAAGAGAATTTTTAAACTATAAATATTTGACAGAGGGTGGAAAAAGCAATTCTTTTACGTCACGACTACAGGCCTTTTACAATTTTATCGAAGTTTAAAAAGTAAAATAAAACAAATAAAAGCAAATAAAGCCGCTGAGGTGGGCTGCGGACCACCATTAAATATCCTACGGTTATTCATATAATGTATCATATAATGCAAAAGAAGGAGTTATATGGAAAGTGCCCATAGTCAATAGCGCCCGTCCTTGGCGCTTGGTACCAAACTTCATCAAATATTACGACCTGTGGTTGCAGAACATTTTATACAAAACAAGACAGAAAGACGGACACAGAGACAGACAGGGAAGCTTAAATCGATTCAGAAAATAGTTCTGAATCGATCAGTATCATAAAAGATCTACCTTAAGTCTCTCTGGGTGTTCCACCACTAGGGGTGTAAGGTATAAAAGTATTTTCGTCTTGGAACGGATCTCTCACTCTCAGTATCGCAAAAGAATATACAAAAAGTGAAAAGCATTTAATTACTTATGATGGTCGATGATCGTAATATCGAAATATTTTGTTCCTGAACTAGCTTTAAAAATTCCAGTGATTTGGTTAAATTTTAATTAAACCGTTTATATATATTTATCTTCTTTTTATTATATTACTCTTTATCCTCTCTAGGATCTTGTGAGAGCCTATCCCATCTTTGAATTGTTAGTCATAGCTTTTTGTTTATTATAGACGTAATTTTAAGTTGAGTTGGGGCCATCAACATAGTATATCTCAAAATCTTTAGCTTTAATATTCCGTAAATGTTCTAAGAGTACATAGACGGGTGGACAGATGCGAGACTGACAAAAGTAAAAGCTAAAGGCAAGCTTTGTTTGCTCAGGAAACTATGTATGCCTAATTTACAAGATTTGTGATACGTAGTGCTGAGAGTTACAAAACCGAGGAGAAACCTAATATATCTCCAATCATCGGTAATCGATATAAAAATAAGAAAAAAAAATATAAAAAATATTATGAGACCCAGAAACTCTGCATTTCCGCTTTTTAATTCCAATACATTTTAGACTACCGAAGTTGGGACCATAGTCGGAAGCATATTTAGCCTTTACGGAACTCAAAACGGGTTCTGAGTTTACTTTGAACTTTATTTTATCCGTCAAAATGAGCCTAAGCTTGTCCATGCTAGCATATTGGGATATATTGCGCCACCATACACCTCTATACGATATTTAGTTAGTTAAGGTGTCATTTAAATTCAAGTGATCATATCCTCTGTTAGGACTTTAATGGGCATTTGATTACTTGCCATTCACGTAGGGATCCTCTTCTTCGTACAGCGCTTTCGCAACTTCCAATACAAGCTCGTTTTCTGGTGAGATTAAACGAATGCCAGTTATATTTGCGTCGCTATGTTGATACGGCTCCAAATCAAGAGTTTGAAGATCCAAATCACTGATAATGTAGCGATAAGCTCCGGTCATTAAGCCAACTTGTTGAGCCTTTTGTATGTCATACACACACGTATGGGAGAAAAGTTCAAGTTTTTATTAATTTCAAATTCAAAGAAAGTAAACTCTCTCTCTCTCTTTCTAAACTTCCAAGATATGATTTGAAGGAGAAAATAACAAAATATGACCATGCACTAGTTAAGCTAGACAATGATTTAAAGTTTATGTGCCGGCTTAAGTAATAGAAAATCTTATATGGAAAAGTGTTCACCTGTTTCAATAGTTCCGGTAATGTTTCTATAGATCCTACAACTATGAATGATGTCTCGCCAGAATTTCTAATACGTCGTAAAACATTGCGATAATCACCATTTAAATCAAGTTCGTATCTGCGAACAACTATCGTTGGACCAGCTGGGCCGTACATTTGCAATAAATCGTTGACTACCGGTAAGTATTCTCCTAAAAGCAATAAATAAAATACTTGTATGCAAATGACATAGGTCCGCAGATATGATCGAATGTATTACCGCATTCGTAAATGATAGTAAAAGCTTCCCATTCTAACATCGTAACCAAATCTTTTAAAATCACCGCCAGCTGTGTGGGATGGGGATGCAAATTAATTGTGGGTAGCTCAACAACAAAATCACCTCGTGTATCGATAAATGGAAGTTCCTTGGCGTCGCATATACTCATAGCGTGCTTTGCTGCCATAGATGATGTAGGACCAAAAACTGCGACTAAATTTTGCTAAATATTTGAGTAAAGATTAATTTCTAATCAACTTCATGTTAAAGGGGGATTTTTTTGTTTTTTTAATCCCTATCTAAAGGTCAACATGTAAGTTAATTTCAGACCTATCTTCACAAAACCAAGCTTTTGTAATAAATTATTGTCAAAATCCCAGATAAAAAATATCTGTTCCAATTTAGAAGGCATACGAGACAAGGTACAGATGTATAGGCAAACGGAAGGATCGGAGTTAAAATTTCGCCATCATTGCACATATCATATAAAGCCCAAGAAATGTCCAACCCTTCTATACGACTTTTACAATTAAATGATAGGATCAGAATACGCATTGCTTTCTCTTCCGAGTCACAAAGGAACCTAAAGAGGTGTCGTACGCGTACTTACTCTTAGCATTTTACACAATTTTTTTGATGTTTCGAAAGCATTTCCTGGCTCGATGCTAATCGAGACGCCATTTAAATACATATCTTCCATATCTGGATTGACGTTGTTGATGGCCAGCTGGAAAATCCTCTCCACATCCGCGTTATCATTCTCACAGATAAGACCTAAGTAATATATAAAGCAAATAAAGTCGATCGTCCATACAAGTGAACTATGAATCTCTTAAAATTAAAAGGCCAATGGTGGCGTAATGTGATGTGATATGGCTACTTTGCGAATTCAATAATCGGGGCGTATTCTATCACTTTTCTGCGTAAGCTCGACTACAAGCTTCCACCTGCTCCTGGTTGATACTTTGTTGCCTTATTTATTTTAATGCATCTACGTATAGAGATGAATGAAGACTTACTTACTCTATTAATTTCATTGTCAAGAAATATTTTTATTTAAAAAAAATAAACAAATTAACAAAACAAGCACTATGTAGAAAAAAAAAAAAAAAAAAAAAAAACAAGAAAAAAAACTAAGATAGAGATGTGAATGCGCATTCATAAGACTATTGTTTGCTTTACCTAAAGCATTTGCATGTTTGAAAAGCTAAAGCCAATAATGAATGAACGATACAAAAACAAATAGCAAAAGGCGCAACATACACAGCCGTAAACAGAATCGGAAAACTCGTAATACACATACAAATATTTTCAATGGCAAACAAATTGGCCTATTTTTCCCAAGTATTGTTTCTCATTTTCCGATACAGAAGAGACAGAATGAATGCAAAGAAATATTCACAACAACTAGAACGTAGCGTAGCTAAAAGCACTGGATTTACACGTGCACGTAAATGCATAAATAAAGGCCATAAAAATCCGATATACTGATCCATAAAAATTGTTACGCTGTAGATGAATGAATTGCCGCACACACACCGAAACAAACAGACATATTGTTTACGTAATAAATATCAATATTTTGTAATTTTAATGCGGGTTTAATGCGATATATATATATAAGCTATATATATATATAGCTTAACTTACCCACATTCGTTTTCTGAGCATTAATTATTTCAATGGAAAATAACGAGAAACTTAAAAACAACAAAAATTTATTTTCAATATTTATTTTGCATTTTAGTCTCCGAAACATTATGAATGATAGAATGATAGAAATGCAGGACAGATAAGCGATTTGAAAATATTTCGCGTACTAAAATTATGTTTTTGTTCGAATAGCTTTTGCTTTTTTCCGATAGGTTCGTTCCTTTGAATGATCTCAAAATGCCAACTGAACATAAAAATTCTCTTTCGATTACATTTTCGCAATTTTCTTTTTGGTCTTTTTTTTCTTCTTTTAATATCGTAATCGCAACCGCAAAACTTTCCTAAGTGTCATCATAAATGTTTACCCAAGTGCCTCTAAAAATATATATTTGGCAACTTTTTAGCCGCATTATGCAAATAGAGTGTCCGGCAAAAAGCAGAAAGCGGTTTAATGTAAATCATTTGATAAATATTCGCAAGGGCTTATAAATATAAAATAAGGCGAATACGCATAAAATAAAGCAATTTATAAATAAAGAAAATTAGAAAGCGTACAGTAATTGGGGTTTTTTTTTTGCCCCCATTCCTATCAAATGATTCGAAAAGTTTGCTAAAACAAATTTCGAAAGCCTTTAATGCGACCATGTTACCACGAGCCTCTAAATGGATGAGATACTGAATTGTTTACAACTGATTTAGCGGAAAACGAGTAGAAATTTTATAGTTATCCACCATTAAATACCCTACATACCTCCTTATTTCGAAAAGTCTCCAAAGAGAAGTCGTCGAAAAAGTGCTCCAAATCCTGATCATTTTCAATAGGGTTCGTTCGCGGTTCAAAACACTTTAGTGTACAAAATTTTATCAAAATATCTCAGTAATTGCGGCCTGTAGGTCGACGAGAAGGAAACAAGACAGACAGGTGGATAGACAAACGGACAACAGTTTAAGTCGATTCAGAAAGTGATTCAGAAAACGATTCCAAACCGATCGATGTAACAACAGTTGAGTCTGACTCGTGTCCTTCTGAGTATTACATACATCCGCACAACAAGGATATAATGATATTACAAAGATTTTATCTTGAGTTGTCGGGAGCTTTAATAGGCTCGTAGAGATATACTTAAGAAAACGAAACCACTTAAACACTTTCAACGAAACGTTCTTAACGAAGTTAACGAAATGCCAGTTGAAATATTGAACATCTATAAGAAACTAAAAGAGGCAGGTCTTTAGCTGGCTTTTTGTTCGAGATTTAATAAAAAATTTATCGTCAATTTTCATTTTTTTTGGCTTTTCATAAACTTCCATAAAAAGAAAGTAAACATCGTGTGTTGCACTATTAAAGTACAAGAGCACCAGCTGTGGTTTTATTAAGTTTGTTGCTACTCTATGTGAAAGCGTGCTAAGTTTATTGCTTCCTTTGTATCTGCCAAGAAAGCGTTTCAGATGGAAGGGAGTAAAGTATTTTTACTACTCGCTTATGGCAAAGACCGGACGGCAATGTGTGCGATGTAAAAAATATTTTCCAAAATTTGCTAGAAGCTAGGCGAGCGCATACTATTGAATCTTCTATCTAAAAGGAAGCTGAACGCTTGTGACCTTGCGAAAGGCATTAACAAGGAGTTTGTAAAAATTAAAAGAATTATCTTAATAGTCATTCTGATCGTGCTCGAAACGAGAACCATTGCAACAACAACCAATGTTGATAAACACAAGTGAAATTTCACTTCACTAAAACAACGATTGCCAGCGAAAGGCTCCTCTCAGGTCAGGATGGCAAAGTTGCGATATATTCTAACAGAAAGAAAGATCAAATATCAATAGTGTTAAGCCCTTGTCAGACAATTGTAGGGTGTGCTTTTCACTTTTTTAATTTTCTATATTTTTCTTGAATGGTTGCGTATACACATAATTACACACATTTTATAAATTCGTACTGGAAACGTACGTTTAGAAATGTTTTCTTTGTACGGTAAGTTAGTCGTAAAAGAAAAAATTTCTTTCATTGAAAGATCCTTTTTATAGAGGTAGTAAATAGTAGTAAACATTGTCAAGTATTTCGCATAAGGGAAAAAATACGTTATTGTACGTGCTACAGTATCTACCATAAGTATAAAATGTAAAATTTTTTACAAATACGAATATGTATGCTACAGATGCAAAGCAAAAGTTGCAAAACAATAAAACAATACAAGAAAGGAAAATATTTTTTCTATTATATTTGCGAAGAAACGAAAGAAAAACAAATATGAAAGTTATGTTCGGCAAGGGCCGAATTTCGCATACCCATCAGTACGCTTTTCGCGTTCTACTCCCCAAGTTCTTTTATTTGACACCCATATCGCTGGTATTATTAAGAAAAAATTAATCGCAGTGTCTACCATATTCATTTTAAAATTAACCCATTTTTAGGCAGATAGTATATCTTCATTTGAGGAGTGTACAAAATAATTTCAAAAATTCTGTCAGGTTTGCCGTGTGACATATAAGAATAAAACCTCAAAAAATTGAAAAAAAATGAGATTTACTTACTTTGCAGGGGCGTGGCCGATTGGTTTTTAAGCAGATAATATATCTTCGGTTGAAGAGTGTACAAAATACTTTGTTTGCCTTATGATAAATAGGCATGAGACCTCAAAAGATTGAACAAAATTAAATTTACTTACTTGTAACTTGATACGGACACGGCCGATTGGTTCCCTTTTTAGACTTAGAGCGTGAAGTATCTCGCAAAGCAAATGTGGAAACTTTCAGCCTTCTAGCTTTAATAATTACCGAATAAGAAGCAAAAATTTCAAAATTTTTTGTTGAAAAAGACTGAGTTACGTTCAGTTTACGCTCCACTGCACGCTTTTGCTATGACCAATTTGGTCCACTTTCAATACTAAGCCGCGTGCAGAAATTTCTGCTATTTCTACACAATTCGAAGTTGATATCTTCCTTTCTGCAAAGAGGAGTGCCAACAAGACACAGCACATAGACGGACAGACATGGCTAAATCGACGCAGAATTTCGCGCTGATCAGAAATATATACACTTTACAAGGTCTCTAAAACTTCCTCTTAGGTGTTACATATATTATGGGAAAAAACAAAACGAGTGTACCCCCGTCTTACAGTGCTGGGTATAATAAAATAAATTGTGTACGTATTTATGGACAGCAGAGCCGAAACTAAAAAAGATGCAGAAGAGAGGAGGAGCCATAGAAACATATCACCTACAGTTCAGATCCGGTAGTTTTTGCCAACGTGGGGTTGGTAACTTTCTCATTTTTACTCTTCCAAGCTACTAAAATAATAAATTTCATTGCCAATGGAATGGAATATAATGGGATGGAAACCACTGTTCAATACAGAAAACTCTATCGAGTATACCATCAAGGGTGGTAACAAAAAGACATATGTCATTGCGAAGATTTATTAAGAGAGAAGGGTGTAAGACTCGTGTTAAGGGAAATACAAACGATGTTCATTGAGATGATTTATTAGTTGGGCTTACTGTCATAATGCCATGTGAGCACTGACTTGATTGTAAACATTGTTGGATCAGCCAACACAATTTGCCTGTAAAACCATTGAATGTCCAAATGATTCTTACGCGATTCCTACTTGACCTTGATGACAAATATCATATAAATATAAATGTGATATAAATGAAGGACAAACAAAAAATGTTTTGCAACAGCTGAGCTTAAGCCTGAGGCTAAATGTACTGCAAGTCTCTGAGAAGTTGAAGTCAGAGCCAAGGATTTAGCTTGACGTGTTCATAGTCATTTGAGATTCGGTTGAGAATCTTGCAAAATAACCTCTACTGCGCCCTTACGCCACATTAATAAAAGTTCCAACCGTTTTTATTAAGTTCGAAAAAGTTTCCAAAGAACTGCTAACCTGCTCTCTTATATGTTCTATCATTTTTCGTTTTTCCTTTTATTGAAGAAATTCCTCAAGCGTAAGTTTAATAACGTTTCCTATTATTTGAACATAAGCTATATACACATATATATATATTAATGAAAATTTACTAGCATTTAACAAGGATTATTCAAAAGAGAAGAACAAGGAATAAAGTTTTTGAGTCCCTGACCATACATTCGCACAATGTATGTCTAAAAAGTAATGGAAATTTTGCATAACAAAAAAAAAAAAATGCAAAAAAAAAAAAAAAAAACAAAAGAAAAGCAAAACTAGCTAAAGCTTTGAACACTTGAATAAACACACATATAAAAAATAAATTCTTTAGTTTTGGCTAAGTTTCGTAGGCGTCTACGAGAGAGCAATAGCACTTAGTATTATTAGAGGAAAACTACGCTACTAAGGATATGCTCTGTATGAAAATGCATGCAAATGGCTTATCAGCTACAGATGCCTCTTGTTTCTCTTATATATATGTAAAGCATTATTCATCAAATCAAAAATTTACTTTCACAATATATCTGGTCTTAGTAGAATTGCAGTTCAAACCGTGTCTTACGTACGAGTTAGAGGTCAAAGCTTACACTGCTAGAACGAACATCCCTATTATGTTAAGGTTAGGTGAGGAAGTAGAACCATTGCAAGATTTTATCTCTATGATATCTCTTAGAGAAAGCACACTGCACGATGCTTAACGGATGATAAAGTTAACATATTCCTCGACGGATGTGTGCACGATATGGGAAAATAAAGTTTTCAAATCTTGCTTTCAAGAGATATCATATTTACTCTTCCAAAAAGTTTTAGTTTATGAGCACAAAAAAAAAGTTTGATCTGAAAACTTAAATTTTAGCTGAGTAATTAGACAAAATGAATTTAAACTCTAAGAAACTTTAGCGTTGCGCTGAACTGTGAGTTTGGACACACACTCGTTTACCGTAATATAAAAGATTCATAAGCATATGCGGCTCGCATGAGGGGATACAATTTTATTTTTGTTCATTTCGGATCTCCGAAATGCATTTCCGTTTCCTTTTATAAAATATGACCAAATAATTGATGCATAATATGAGAATCTCTCAATTCTCATATGAAAAAGAAGAAAAGAAAGGTTACAAAAAGTTGTCAGCAAACGTTTCTTTGCCATATATATGAATAACTAAGAGAAAATCGATAACATATAAGAATATGTTCGAACATATTTCGATATGCAGCCTTCACAGGCCAGGCATGAAGGCGTAATAAGCGTTAACGCAGGTAATTATAGAAAGTCATCAAAGAGTTGTATTTTCGAGCTAATGTGCATTAAGATTACATCCTAAACGACTTAATACGAAATAAAGGCATACATATGTACACACATGTAGAAACTTATGATAAGGATAAAAAGAACAAATATTTATGCATCATTTTACACGAGCGAACACTTTAATCAATTGTTGCTGATGGTCTGAGCTTTTTGTTGTTGATTTCTTAACATGCTTTTTATTACAAACTTCTCTTTGTTGCATTGCATTAATATTATGCACAAATATATGTACATATATATATACGTATATATATATATATATGTATATATATATATATTCATATACATATATATATATATTCATATACATATATATATATATTCATATACATATGTATATATATATATATATATTCATATACAAAATCATTGCACTGCGCTTCCCTTCTCTCTTTGGCCCGCATAAGCAAGCGTATATCAAAAGACTTTCCCATCTCATTGTGGTGCACAAATGATATTAGTGATGCCAACTTGCTGTTTCGAGTGCTCGATCTGGAAGTAGTTTTTTTTTTTTTTTTTTTTTTTTTTTGTTAAACAAATTCAAGTTTACATTAATCAACATTGGCACGAGCACAAAGTTTTTGTCGCTCTGTCCCTCTGGCTATTGCTATTTTCAGTAATCATATCACCGAAGCGAGCGAGAAAGCAGAATTTTAATGAAAATTAAAAACTTAGTTTTGAAAAGGCATGCAATCTGCCCACAAACACACATAGAAAGCTGTACAACAACAAAAGAATCCGAAACTGGACATCTAATAATAATTGAATATAAATACACACATAGGCATGCATGCATATACACGCACACATGCCCGCATATATACATCTACCACCTCTGTCTAACTGTGCATTCCTCTGAACGCACTTGTTTGGAGTGAAATATGTCCTTATACCATTAACATGTCCGCCGTTCGCAAAAAAGGGTTTACAGAAAGGCATCGTAGTTGGCGTTGGAAAACTTTTGAAGAAACAGATAACGGACGCAATTTTGCTTTAGGCAAGACTTCGATATGGATTTATGCGCCATATAAGCAATCGAAAGATTTGATCGAAACCCAGCGATGTGTGCAAAAAAAAAGTCATCCTTTAACCGTGAACAATACATTAAAATATCAATTTGAAGGATATTTTGTTTTAACACTTGTTACTCGTGTCTATGAATAGAAAAGTTGCGAGATGCAAATGCAAAGTTGTTCTCATCAAAAGCAGTGAATCCTCTCTCCGCACTCTTGCACATTGAATGTTTAAGAGCAGGCGCAGTATTGTTTTCCATGAAGAAGTGTTAGTGGGACACATGTGGGGGACGTCTTAGAAAATACACATAATGCGTGACATAGAACTTCAAAGGTGGCGCAGAAAATTTCCACAAAAAAAAAAACAGTTCTATAAAAGAATCCTCCGTGAACGAACATACAAAACTGATGCAACGGGATAAATTAATTGAGTTTCGTTAAGAAAAAAACTTCTTCACTATGATTTAAATTAAATCCATATAAATAATTATCTACAACAATATTATATGAATGAAATACAAAATACAAAAAAGAATTTATTATCTCTCCCGATGAATACTGACAAGTAATTTATTGCAAAAAAAAAAAAAAAAAAACATAAAAAAAGCATTTGGTGAAAAAGTTGTGTTTTTTGTTTTTTTTGTTTTCCTTTTGGTAACGTTTACAACATTTTGAATCAGTGAAGCGAGCTATAGATAGAGAAAATAATTTTATTATCAGCCTTTAATTGTGTTTCAATATCGATTGTTGTAATAAAGTGATAATTGCTTCAGTAGAAAACGATTATGCAGGAAGAGCAAACACTTTTGTTAACGTAAATCCTAATAAGATAAGATATAAGTGTCCTGTGTACCACCATTAACCACATTAACAACAACATACAATTTTCGTTTCGTTCGGCCAAGTGAAGACAATTGCTAAGCCAATCAGCTGCAATGACAGAAATCATTGAACTTAATGTTGGTGGCGTTCACTACACCACCACAATGGATTCTTTGCTTCAGGATAAGTCATCGCTTTTATGCGAAATGTTTAGTAAAAAGGACGATTTACTTAAGGATGCCAAAGGACGTTACTTTTTGGATCGTGACGGTGTCCTATTTCGTTACATTTTGGATTATTTACGCGACAAGCAACTCAATTTGCCCGAAGGATTTCGTGAAAAACAGCGCCTTCAAAAGGAGGCGATGCACTACAAATTGAACGGTATGCTGGACTGCATGCGTAGGGAACGTGAATCGCGTACACCCGGCTGCATAACCATCGGATATCGTGGCAGTTTTCAATTCGGTAAAGACGGTTTGGCCGATGTCAAGTTCCGCAAACTATCACGTATCCTGGTGTGCGGTCGTGTGGCATTATGTCGCGAAGTATTTGGCGACACTCTTAACGAATCACGCGACCCCGACCATGGAGGCATTAACCGTTATACATCACGTTTCTTTCTGAAGCACTGTTTCATTGAGCAAGCCTTTGATATGTTGCATGAGCAAGGCTTTCGAATGGCCGGCAGTTGCGGTTCGGGTACAGCCGGCTCAGCGGCTGAACCTAAGCCCGGAGTGGATGCCGAAGAGAATCGATGGAATCATTACAATGAGTTTGTTTTCATACGTGAATAAACTCCATTTTTTTTTTTTTTTTTCTTGCAAGCATAAATGTCATAAAATATGAGCTGACTTTGGTAAGATGCACGTAATTGAACCGCTCACTCGGAAACTTTAGCCAAAAAAAAAAAAAAAAAAGGAAAAAACACGAATGTCTTTTATTAGATAAAATATATTTAATTTTGATTAGATTGCTGATGGATGAACACATCAAGTATTCAAGATTCTGTTGAAAGTTTTCTTAAACGAGGGATTCAACTAGAAAATTGAATTTTCTGTTCTGCGTAGCTCACTCACTTATAGTTCAGACAATATCATATACATATATGTACTTGCATTACGATCAGCAGCAGGTTTAGGTGGCAGATTGATTGCACGAAACGGGACTTTAGAAGAACAACTTATATGGCTGAAGCATTTCTTCAACGTTTAAATGCACCTATGCGTACGAATTGTTTACCTTATCCCGTTAGGTTGGTTAGAATATGCTCTGAGCCAAATAATAGGTGCAGTAGGTGTTAGATTTAAATGTCTGTGTAAATGAATGTGCATGGAGTGAATGAATGAAACGATAATATATATATCGATTTCTTGAATGTCTAATGTTTCTTAGTCTAAAATCCCTTATGTAACGATAAACTCGACAATGAAGTTAAAATGAAATTCTCGCAAGTTTATGTCGACTCGAAGTGTGTTTGTCAGTTCGCGATCAACTTATTTTTCTTAGTTTTTTTATTTGCAAACTGAAATTATTAAAACAAAAAATATTAGCAGAAACCTAGAGGAAAAAACTGTTTGGGGATGGGTGGGAGTGGGATAAGGAAAGCTTATGAAGCTCGCTCAGCAATGGGCTGATAGGCTCTGACTGAAGCAATCGTTTTAAACGATTTGTAAATTATTCAAGCGAATAATTTAAAGTCCTCTTCTTCGAAATATTTTTGGTTCCTTGCTTTTAAGGTCGCCCTAGTGAACTAATGTAAGTTGTAAAGCATTTGTTGTATACGCTAAGGTTTCAGCTTTTTTTTTCAACTCTTTGTCGATAAGTAACCTACACGAGTTGACCGCATCGAACGAACACAATTTCGCGGACTTATAGTCGCTCCCTATATATATACATACTATATATATGTATAATATACACAATTAATAGAATATTTTTCTAATTCTATCGTAAAATAAATAATTGTTTTCACTAAGAGAAAGTATGGAAAGCCAAGCAAAGCGTAATTGTTTCACTCCAAGGATTCAAAATGTTAGAGAAATGAAAATGCGGGGAATCCGGAAGTTATGCAAACACATGGAAGAGTGCATAGCGCTTGTTGCACCTGTTAATCAGTTAAGCTGAGTGATTAGGGGGAAAAAAGAGAGGTAAATGTATGGATAGATAGATACATTTCTTTTAAAATTAACAATAATTAGCTAAAAGAGATTGCATTTGATTTATAAAAAAGCAATTATATGAATGGCCTTGAACATCTTAATAAGAAATCATATGGTAGTCTTCTACTTAATTATCTTAACTGTATTAATTAATTACTTGTGCTTAAATGCAAGTTATCGCTTAAACGGCTTTCGTCCTTTCATTAGCATAGAAAGACAAACTTTGTAGACTTGAAGAATGATTCCATCGTACCTTATACAACAAACCAATTATGTTATAAATGAGTAGGTATGTAACATCTCGTCCTCATTAATGTCCGCACTGAATAATTATTAAGTAAATATTTAAAAAAAGGGAGAATAATATTAGAAGAGTACAACAGAAAGAAGAAAGGTTTTAAGTATAGGAGACTGTTTACCTCAATTGTGTGCTTAACGCTAATACTCGATTACTTTGAAGTAATTTTTGTTTGCATTCGATAGTACGTACGAAACGTGAAGTTATTAGGAACTTTTTGCTTTTTTTTTATTTAAATTTTCAAAAGTAAATAAAAATGAAATTTTGTCTCAGAAACTAGAACGTGATCTAACCTTCAATCGAACAAGTATAGCAAGAATCGGATTAATCGGTCCTGACAAATTTTCATTACCAACGATGAACATTTATATTCCTATTGCGGATTGTACGATGTTGACACAAATGTTTTGAAAAATTTTTTTTGTTTTTTTTTTTCGGTTTTCTCAATATTTTCGTTGTTTTTTTTTTTGACAATATATCCAAAGGTTTAATTCATATATTTTTTGAGAATTGTTACGACAGATCGCGGATAGGAGCGCGGACAGACAATTGCAAGAAGTTAAGACGATTCAGAATATCAGAAAATCAAAGAACTAAGTATTCGTGGGTTCAAATCTTAAGTGCATTTCAGTTCTCTTATAGTGAGTGCTCGGTCGAAAAAAGCAGAACACTGCCCGATTAGACATACGTCGATTAGAGAGCGTCCACTACTTGCCTCTCTCTTTACCTTTTCTCTTTCCTTTCCGACCGTCACCGTGTCACAGGAATAGGGGACCATTTGCAAGCCAGTGACCATTTTAACAAGAAAGGAAAGCATATCCTGACGATCATAGGAACGCTAATATCTATTTACCTATGAACAAAATGTATGCAAGTTTTACCATACACTATTTATTTTCTGAAAGCAAACCATTTATCGATTAGATTTACGATTTTGAGAATTCGAATCCGAACAGCACATGAAGAACGAACTTATCTTTGGTGTGTGACTAAGCGAAGATAGAATTTGCACGAAATCAAGAATACAAAGAAATTATTCGAGTCTTTGCTAATTAATTCAGATTGCTTCAAATGAGATAACCTCAACGGCCTCTAGTGCTGCTTGTAGACGAAATCTTATTGTCTCGTTGTCTTGTGGGATCAATAGGAAACAGTAAAGTAAACTAAAAAGACTGGGAAGAGACTTTGTGAACATAACATCATTTCTACGCTTTTCTTGCTGACGAAGAGTGGAGTTATGTTTGGTTTGTTAAAATTGCCTGAATAACGCAAGAACATAAACAAAAATATGGTCAAATGAGACTTTCGCAGTTTGTCGATCTTAGTTTTGGGCAAAAAGGTTTGACCAGACATGTGACTTCCTTTGATTATAGAACTAATCTGTTAATAAGTGTTTCGAACATTCGCTCGGTGTAATTAAACGGCAGATAACGAGGACATGACTAGAATTCGTCAGGGCACAACAACAACAAGGAACATGGATTCCATTAAACATCAAGTCGATTTTAATAAAATAAAATTAAGCAGCTTGTACTTTCTCTATATATATATATATATACAATAACGGTTTCTGTTTCTCTTTCCGTGGAGGTGTCTTACAAAAGCGATAACAAGAAAAAAAATTACATTCGATCTTCAGTGAATCTTTTATGCCCATCATTGTTTAAAGGAAAATGGCTAAACTTTCATAATCCATAACACTGTGTGGGCGTGCCCGATTTTTTTCTATTTTCCGAAAAAAAGCAGAAACTTATATGAGGCACGTGTCGTACTTTATGAGCAAGAAGCAAGAAACACGGACAGCATATGCAAGTGGACGTTGTAGGCGTGTCGCGGTTTGGGTCATTTTTAAATTCTTTTGCAAATTCGTTGGCGAAATGTTTATTTTTTCGGCCCGGCGGATATTTGCCATAGACATTACATAGACGGACAGGCGGACCGACTTACGTGCTTAAATCGATCCATAAACTCTGCGAGATCTCTGAAGCTTCGTTCTGGCCGTCTGGCAAACGTTTTAACAAAACGAATATACCCCTCAACCCTCCGTGATTGGTATAAAACTATTTGAAATTTTCTGATTGGATTTTATTTGCGAAATAAAAATAAAAGTAAAAAATTTTATTATTTTATGAATGATTTTCTTTGAAGAAGTCATTCACTTCAAGCATATGCAATAATGAAAAGTGAAATGACATCTATCGTTAATGCAGGCCAGTATCGATTTCCCGACAACTGCGCTTCAACGAAGTACATAAAATATAAACTCAATTTTCTAGTTGCATACATAGCTTTTTTAATGAATGGAAGGAAGATGGGTAGGTAAAGGAAACGAAAATAGAAAATCCTATAAAATTGAAAATTGAAAGTCAAAGCAATCAAATAACTAAAAATGAAACTAAAGGAAAGTTAGATGGAAATAAACTACATAAACATATATATATATATATACATATATGTATATCTAGGAAAATATTTATGCAACTAAAAATAATTCAAACAAATACGGGTTTTAGTAGAACTTAATTGAAATTGAAATTAAAATTAAAATGAATACAAATTAATGTTAATATAATTAATAAAAAAAAAAAAAAAACTTTTTGATAGAATAAGAGAAAAATGTATTTAAAAGAATTTCAATTTAATGAATAAAAACATTTTAGATTTAATTAATTCAAAAAGATAAAAACCCTTCTTGAAAATGAAAGTTTGAAAAAAATGGCCAGTAGAAGGGAGATTTATGTCAAATAAATCTCCAATAAATCTTTTAAGAGCCGTAATGGAAGTGCACACAACGGCAAAAACAAATAATAAAATAAAAAAATAACAAAATACACACAACAAAATTCACCAAAAAAACGGGATAAATAAATACATAAAAATCTGAAAATCTGGTTACGAATAAAACAAAAAAAAAAGAAGAAAATTATGTAATTTTCATTAATTAAAACTTTTACGTACCGGATAAAATCTATTTATACCTATATCTAAGGGAAAATTATTATTATATTTAATATATCTGTTTACGTCAAAACTTTTTGTGACATCTCTAGCAGAGTCTGTACATGATTCCTCAACTCCTAACCCACCTCTAACATGTTAATGAGATAGATAAAGAGAGAGAGAGAGAGAGCGAGAGAGAGAGAGAGAGAGAGAGGGAGAGAGGAGGGGAGCTTCCGAGGTAGCTCGCGATGATAATGAACTAAAAAGAGAACAGATGATAAAATTTAATATGCATTCCTTCTTACGGTAAGGAATTTTATTCTGCGAAAATTGCTTGACTGACTCACGAAAGCGAAAATTGTATGAATAAAATTTATAAATAAGACAAACACAAAAGCAGAAGACATTGTATGTATGTATAATACGTTAATTGAAATGCGTTATTTATGCAAGGCAAAGATTTTTTGATTCAAAGTACTTTGTATCATTAATCAGTCGACTATGTCGACCTCTTTACAGGTATACTCG